AAAAAAAAAAAAAGTAAAATCTTTTAAAACTTTTAAGTAAATTAGACTTATTCAAAGTGGTTAGCAGCGGTAACCACCGTGCGGTAAGTGGCTAAATTATGAGAAAGTTCACGGTGAAGTGCAAGGTAGAATAAATTTACTCTTTTTAGGTAAAATGGCCAAGAACAAGTTGTCGGATCGGGACATTGAAGCATTCTTGTTTGAAGATATACCTTCAGACATTGATAGCTGTACAGGTGGTAATCTGTCTGTTGAGGATGATCAATGGGAAGAGRAGTYTCCTTTATTAGACCAGAATCTTCTTCGGTCAGATGACGAGTTTGATTCTGGCGATGAAATTCCATTAGCTTAGCTACTTGGAAGTAATAAACCGGCTAACCAAGTTGTTCCGCTACCATTTCATTCATTGCAACCTCCCACATGGAAGAAAACGTATACAATTTTGGATCCTGATAACTTTGAGCYTTCATCTCATTTGCCGGACGAAATATATGATTTAGTAGTGAGCCATWGTGTGACTCCTCTCAAAATTTTTAACTTATTTTGGACGGCTAACATATGCTCAAGAAAAGAGAGTTTCTTACAATCCAGTCATTGTAGAAGAGATGTCCATTTTTATTGCTCTGAATTTAATAATGGGCATAAAGAAAAGTTAAAGTTATAGACCCTACTGGTCATCCTCACCTGATTTGCATGACGAATATATATCACATTTTATGCCATTCAACCGTTTTGCATGGATTCTTGGACACTTACATTTAAATGACAACAATCTTTTGCCTTCACGTAACGATCCGAATTATGACAAATTATATAAGGTGCGACCTTTTATAGAAATGCTCCGAGAATCTTACAAAAAAAAACTACAACCACTCTGAAAAGATCGCTATYGACGAGTCAATAATAAAAGTCAAAGGTAGAAGCAGTCTGAAGCAATAYATGCCGAAAAAGCCTATCAAAAGGGGGTACAAGGTATGGACAAAGTGTGTTTCTTCAGGATATTGTCTGCATGTGGAACAGTAAATGAATCGCGTAAACACCTTCCAAATTTGAAGCCAGATAAGCAACTAAAGCGCGGCGAGTTCGATTATCAAGTCAGTGTTAATCAAATGGTTTCATTTCTGAAATGGAAATATAAACGTTCTGTTTTCCTTAAGTAATTTCCACGATCCTAGAAATTAAGTTTGTGTCCGAAGAACAGAAAAAACTGGGGAGAAAGTGGAAGTGGCTTGCCCTCTAGCATTAAAAGATTATAACGAAAACATGAACTTCGYAGATAAATTCGATCAATTGAAGGGTAGCTACGCGRTTGATCGAAAATCTAAAAAGTGGTGGCACCGCATATTSTTTCATTTTTTAGATTGCACAGAGTGCCAAAAAGACGAAACATCAGGATTAGATGAACTGTGCCTCAAGGACTTTAGACGCCAAGCTTATCAAGATATGCTTGCACCGGCCTATATCAGCAATAAGAGAAAGTTTTCGCAAATCTCTGGCAAATCTTCACCTAAATGTGCTTCTATCAAGAAGCACAAACACGAGGTACCTGAATCATTACGACTTGCTGAAGGTAACCACAAACCCAAGAGGTACTAAAAGACACAAACCAGTACGCACAGTATGGAGCTGCATAATATGCCAAGTACCTCTTTGCTRCAGGGAAGGAAAACAATGTTTTAATAATCACCATCGTCGTTTGTAATATACTACGTATTTTATTGTTTTAAATAAAGAAAAAAATGAAACGAAAAATTTGAACACTTATTTTACAGTGGTTACCATAAGTAACCACCTTATAACGGACCCCCCGCCCCACCTGACGTACAACAAAAAAAGTTGCAGCTATCTCTTAATTTGACCCTCCTAACAAGAGTATGCTAGAATTTGTGTTTCTAGCCTTGCCAGATAAAAAGCGTGACGTAAAGAGTTAAGGGACATAGAAATAGAAAAAGAAAGAGATGAAATAATGAAATATACTCATAATCGAGCCCACAGAAATGCTGAGAATAACACAAAAGAAATACTAGAGACATGTTATTGGCCAACAATCAGAGAAAACACAAAAAAATTAGTAAAAATATCTGTCATATTAAAGAAAATAAATATGAACGCCACCCTGTCAAACAAGTATACGGAAAAATCCCAATACCCGAATTTATAGGCACATCTATACAAATGGATGTATTTCATATCAACAACACAACATACCTGACTAGCATAGATAGATACTCTAAATACGCATACATCAAAAATTATAAAATAAAAGAGAAATCCTCAAAATACAAGAAGAAGTTCTCACTCAAATTTACCTATTCTGCTCTCAACTCATGACCGACAATGAGTCAATATTTAAAAGCATAGCGACAAAGCACTGTACACAACGCGCAAGTCGAACGGTTAAACTCTACAATTTTAGAAATCATACGCGCTCAAATAGCAAAAAATAAAAGTACCGCGGATGAAGAAGTATTCAACGCAGTGAAAGAAAAGGTTTACTATATATTCATTGAATAGTAAACCTCTTGACATATTTTTTGAAAGAAGTAAATTTAGTGAAATCAAGGACATATTAAAAGAAAAACAAAAACGCATGTTAGCATACCACAATAAAAAACGACAAAATAAAATATATACTCCAGGTGAAGAAGTATACGAGAAACAAAATCGTCGCGAAAAATTTACACGCCGCTACATTAAACAGACAGTCAAGGAGAATCGTGAGGACACAATTTTAACAACGAAGGGGAGGATTGTACAAGTTATCGAGAATTAACTTTCACGATGACCATTCAGTCGACGACACATCCGTCGACGCAACCTTCACTCAGGTCGCTCACACTAATGTAATCCGATACCTTACACGAGCCGCTGAGGCAACATAATTATGTTTACACAGTCGACTGCCAAATATTCCATGTGAACCGCTGTGTCGGCATAACTGCGTTCACACGGTGAACGACTGTAAATTTTCCATCGGATCGCTATGTCAGCAGAATAGAATTCGCACAGGCAAAGCGGTGGCAGAACGGTAGCAGCGCAGCGCAACGCCGATGGTTAGTTGTAGGCTAAGAAATCATTGTAAAGTTTAGTTTTAGGACTCACGTCAAACAAACAGCCAGTGCGCTGTAATATATAAAGACCTTAAATTTAAATCGTGTAATTTACATAAAGATAATCTACAAAGCAATGTACACCCAGACAATCCTGATACTAAACTTGATGTCCATAATGACAGCTCAGAGAATAACGAGCCTGCAGGACAAAAAATACTTACTGACAGAAACAGATCC